CGGTCAAAAAGCGATTATAGTTGTATAGTAAGTTATATAATATTTTCTGTTCTAAAATTTTATACATATTTTTATTTAAAAAATATAACACTTTTTTTTTTAAAATTTCATACATGTAGTTTGTTAAGATAACATTACTATTTTATTTAGTATAATTTATTTTAGTTAATATAATTAAAATTAAAATAAATTACGTGATAATAATTTCTCTATAGTATATTTTTTTCACTTGTAAAATTTGAACTCTTAATATACTTAATAGGTACTTCCTCCGTTTTTGAATTTATGCGCTAATTAACTAAAAAAATTAAGTAAATTAATTATTTGTAAATAAATCTGTGATAATTTTCCTATAATACTCCTCCTTTTAATCGCTTGCATTAGACTATTAGAGTATTATTAACATGCATGATTTACATATCATATAAGAATTTAACTATGGTTGTAGTTCAAAAAAAATTCGAAAGATTAAAAACTTATTTTTAGGACCAAAATAAACTCTTAAACTAACTCTTATATTTAGGATGAGTTACTTCATCAATATCCTGATATTATATTTTGAGAGAGAGAGCGTGCGCGCACTACCATTTTGATTCTTAACATAAGATGAAATTAACAAATTTTATATTTATTAAAAAAATGTCAGTTATAAACTTATAATGTTGAAATTGAAAAAAACTATAATTTTTTATTTTATTTTTTTGTAATTAATAATTGTTATAATTTTTTAGGAATTCAAATGATAATAAATAAACAAAAAATAAAAAAAAAGAATTAATTACTTTAACTTTGTCTTATATTTACAAAAAAAAATTTCAAAATCCATCTTGTATTAAGGGCCAGAAGGAATATATATTAAAAATTAAAATATCTTAAAAAAATGCTTCCTTCATCTTAATTTATAAGATAATTGTAAACAAAATTTTATATATCCATAAAGTTGATTAAATATATTTCACAATTTTATTTTTTTAAAAACAAAAAACATAAACTTCCAAAAATATTGTTTATTTAATACTTCATTTATGAAAAATATTAAAAAAATAATATAAGAAGGGTAATTTTGAAAAAAGTATAATTAATCAAATATTATTTTTATTAAATAATTTTATATTTTTGACACTAAATTTTTAAAAATATTTTATAAATTGAGATTGATATGTAGCATGTGGTAGATGAAAAACATAAAGGCAAGAGCGAGAGTGTAACAGTAACTTTATGGGCCTTTGATTTTTCTAACACTGGGGAGAATCGTCACATGACTAAGTTAATATCATCAAAACCAACAAATTTATCTACTCATTTATTTGGCTCTTTCCATTTCCCACCCTTGGTACTTGATGTTTGCTTTTAGCTCTTTGCGCTGCCTGAGTTGACTATGCAAATTATCTACTCATTTCTTTGGCCTGTGTTGTGTCATCTTTCTATCAAAGAATCAGATTACAAATATTATTAACTAATTAACTAATGACCATGCACAACTTGCTATTTTAATTTTCTTCCTTTCTTGTTGCCTTTCTCGTCTGCTAATTCACAATTTTTTGTCGTTTGGGGTTTAAAATGCCCAAATTTATATTGAAATTAGTTCAACATGTTCTAGAGAAAATGACACTTGACATTCATAATTCATAAACAAATTTTGGAGAAGTTTAACCAATTAAAATTTCCTCCTCGTACCAAAAAAAAAATCAGTATGATCTTAATCATATTATTATTATTAACATGTACACAACTAATAAGCATTGGTTCTAGTAAAATTGACTATAGCTTACTATAAACATAGATCTCTTAGTTTGACTCTATGCAAAAAAAATATTTTTGAAAAAGTTATTTAATTTTCAATTAAGGTTGACAGTATTTAAGTTTGTCCCAATCAAATAATCATATAAAAAAAATTTCTCTCCCTCGTACACACGCTCTGCAGTCTTCACCCATTGTCTTCTTCTTCTTCTTCTTTGAATGAATCAGAAACTGTTAGTTATACTACATACGTCAAACTACTCTATACTCATATATCATGGTGTCTTATATCTTTATTTAGTTTGCCATCATTACATTAATGATCTTCCTATTCCTAAGTTCAGTTTTTGGTTACGCTGTTGACATAATTTTTTTTTGTTGGATAAATTATATAAACTAATTGTATACCCAAAAAAAAAAAGAACTAATTAATCATAAATCTCCATTAATCAGCATATATATTACCAATAACTTAACTTGTAGTCATTTCTGTTTAGAAATGGATATACATTTATATATTTTATACATGAACAAAATTTATGATCTACGTGGAAGCTTTATTTTGCAAGTATATAAGTAAAGATAAAATTCAAAATTAATACATACAAGAAATAGTGTATGTAGCATTTATTGAGAAAAATGATTAAAAAATTATTTAAAATAATTTGGATATATACGAAGAAGATTGCAGGAGATATTGATGAGGAAAGTAGAATATAATTTTGAAATATGTTAAGAGGGGTAGCGAAAAGGTAAAGAGAATGCTTAATTAATAATATTTTTAAAAACTTGATAAATAATAAAATATAATAGTATTGTGTAATTTATATAGTTGATCTCATTTAGTGAGATAAGGTTCTTTGTTGTATGTAGAAGCTCCATTTTAGGGATCCTAAGCTTAGAAACCAAAAGGGAAAAAAAAAAAAAAGGCACAAGGATTTGTATAGTATCAACTTTGTTATCTTGCACAGACGAGTGGATTCATTTCACTTTCTAGGGAACCAAACAGAGGGTTTAAGTTAGCCCTTACGTAAAGCATCTTGTTTTCCTCAGAAAAGAACAAAAGGAGTGAAAGGGAAAGAAGTAAAAAAGAAGGCCAAATACAAAGCAGCAAAACAAAACCGGAATTAAAGAGTCTCACAACGCAATTATTCCCCACAGCTTTCCTTGCTGACGTCGGCTCTTCATCAGCACGACAAAGCCCCTCAACGTCTGCGCCACGTGCCTCCTCCTCCGTCGGATTTGGTCAAAAGCCGGTGCCTCTCTCGCCACGTGTGACCCTTCTATTCCGAAAATATCACTGTTCCAGTAGCAATGTTTGAATCATTGACCTCCCTTTTATCGCTCCTTTTTCCCCCCACGCGCCACCCTCTCCTCGTGCCGGCACGCTCTACTTCAATATTTCCAATTAAATTTTTGAAATTGTGAATAAATTTTAAATTTATACAAGTACCCTCCCCAGTAACAGTATAAAGCAATTTTTTTTAAAAAATATTAATTTAAAATATAAAACATTAAATAAATTTTATATATTTTTTTAATTGTACACTTTTACTTTATTATATTTTTTTAAGTAATTAATGAAATTATTTCAAATATTTAGTCCACTCAAAAGTTGGATTGAAAAGACGTAAAAAATTTTAAAATTAATATTTTAATTAAAAATGAATTACTATATAATAGTCCGGATGAAGTATTAATTGTATCCTTAAGATATTTATTAAATAAAACTATAATATAATATGCATATTTAACTATTTATCTAAGACATTATAATATGTCTAAAATGTTAATATTTAACATTGGATTTAAAAATTTATTTTTTGAATATTATAAAATTAATATTTCATTAAAAAATTATATAATTTTCAATTTTTAATTAAAAGACGAGTAATCGTGTATAATTTTAATTTTTTTTCCCTCCGAAGCAGTGCGAAGCTTTGCATTATTGGAGAGTGTTGATTCGCGGAAGAAACAAGAGGGAAGGTTTGAATGTGCCGGGAAGGAAGGGAGAGAGATAGAGTCAACTCTCATGTTTTCGTTGACTCTTCTTTTTCCCATCAACATATTATAAGATTATTATTTATTTTTAATTAGCAGAAAACTTGTGCCAGTGACTCAAGATTTTGATTGCCTTTACTCAACAGCTGCAGAGCGCACTGTGTAATATTCTAATACATTTTTATACACAAAATTAAGTGGTGTTTATCTTCTACAATAATAATACATAGATTTTGGCCAAATTAAACAATTAAAATTTAGAAAATAAGAAATAAGGCTATATATATATATATATATATATGCATATCTTAGAAGATCTCGTTGGAAACATTCAAGGTAATTTTAAAACTGTGATGGGTGGGTTTTCGGGTATCCTAGGAACAAATTAAGATTATAATATATTCAAACACATAGTAGAATTGTAATAGTTATTTTTTTTTCTCTATTTAAACAGTGCATAATAGTAGTACTATAGTAATTCAGAGAGACAACAGAAATCACTGTTACCAAACGCTCCTTCGATTTCATTATTTGGTCATGATAAAATTTTTGTTGCATATTATAAATCGTCTTAGAATTTCATAGTAATATTTATAAATCGTTTCATAGTAATATTCAACAATTTAACTAGTTTATTTCATACCTATCGCAACGCTACTATAAATAAAAGATAAATTTAGTAAAAGCATGCTATTTTTGACATATTTATTATATTTCTTAATTATATTATATGAAAAAGCCTTAAAAGACCCATATAATGAAACAAATAAGGGAATACAGTACATTGCAAAATATGTGATGTCTAAAAAAAAACCCTTAATAATATTGGAGGAAAAATAGAAAAGATAGATTTGTTTTCCAAATTACCCAGAACCATTTCTTAATATGCATATACTTTTTAGTTTTTTTTTTTGGCACTCATACTACGCATATACTTAAACATCATTTTTTTTTTTTGGGTCAGAAAATACTTTACATCGTCGATTGGTTATATTAATTGAGCAAGTGAAGGATAATGTTGTCGGATTGTGACAAATGAGATTGTTAGTGGTTTGGCATTGAAATGTTTTTTAAAAAAAGAAAAAAAAGAAAAGAAAAGAAAAGAAATATTAAAAAGGCGAGCAGAGAGGGAGTCTCCCCACCTCCCTAACTAATATTTGATCAGTCTCCTTAATGGAAGTAGCATGGACTGAAATGTTAGCGTCTCATAAAGAAAGCTCTATTTTGGTTTTGCTATTGGAAGGTATTTTGTCAACCTGCTTTTTAAAACTGACCCTAGCACCTCTCCTCCATTCAAACCCAATGACTTTCTTATATATATATATATATATATATATATTACTCATCAAATCAAGTTCAAGGGATAAGCCACAATTAAATTAAAGTCCCTGAACTAGATAAGAAGACTCCCTCAAACTCTCTTGTACTCTCTCTCTCACTCTTCTTCATCTTCTTCATGTCTGATGAACCCAGTAAGGAACTTTACTACAGAGATCTTTTCTTAGGCCATCATAATCAGCAGGCCTCGAGTGGATCTGCCATGTTCTGTGAGAAGAACTTGTCTTCCTTTCATATTCCTGGCCCTTCATCATCGTCAGGCTTTGATGATGATTCTCCATATATGAGCTTCACTGAATGCCTGCAAGGAGGCCTGGACTACAATTCTCTCGCTAGCTCCTTTGGCTTGTCTCCTTCCTCCTCCGAGGTTTTCTCTTCTGATCAGAAGCCAGCTGCAGATGCTCCTGGAGATTTAGGCGGTGGTGGGAGTGAAACGCCTGTGACGACCACCCAGAATTCATCCATCTCTAATTCATCTTCTTCGGAAGGTGCAGCTGAAGAGGAAGACTCGGGGAAGAGCAAGAAAGATAGTGATCAGGTCAAAGCAGAAGAAGGGTCTAACAAGAAAGGGCAAGTCTTTTTTTTTTTTCCCTTCTCCTCTGATCTATTTTTCTTCTAAATCTTAATTAACCTGATTCAACCCATAATGTTTTGTGGCATATCTTATTGACCATCTATCTAGCTAGGCTAAAATTAATCAATAGTAGTGCAACTTAATTACAGGAACAAAGGCAGGAAGAAAGGAGAGAAGAAGCAGAAGGAGCCCAGGTTTGCCTTCATGACCAAGAGCGAGGTCGATCACCTCGAAGATGGTTACAGATGGAGAAAATATGGACAGAAAGCTGTCAAGAATAGCCCCTACCCAAGGTATATTTGTATATACTCATACAGTTTCTTAAATTAATCTCCTTGTACCAAATCTCACACACCCAACCAGAGATCGAAACCTTCTCAATGGTGCTAAGTTGGCTTCATCAAGTTTCTGCAGTGGCGTAAAACTGTTTTGTTACATACACATTATTGAATCTGAGGAAAATAAAGCAAAAGAGTAACCGGAAACAGTGCTGTGAGGGAGGGTTAATTGAAAAATTCCTCATCCTTTCTCCATTATTAGCGTGTACATGTATGTGGGTGGCAGAAATTTTATAATATAGAGTTTGATGAGAAGATATTGGGGGTATATCGCAGAAGCTACTACAGGTGCACGACGCAGAAGTGCACAGTGAAGAAACGCGTGGAGAGGTCATATCAAGACCCAACCACTGTGATAACAACGTATGAGGGTCAGCACAACCATCCAGTCCCCACATCGCTGAGAGGGAATGCGGCCGCAATGTTCACACCTTCTTCTCTCCTAGCACCACACTCTCCTTCATCACTCGCCGCCGCCGCCGCCGCCGCCCACCACCACCACGATCTCTTTCTTCACATGCCTCATCACTTCAACACCCCAAGTATTAGTACTGCTTCAGCCGCTGCTTATAACAATAACAGCAATCTTATTAACAGTACCACTGCTTCTTCTCTTCTTCAGCAGCAGTATCATCATCATCATCATCTTCCTCCTCATGACTACGGCCTCCTCCAGGACATTCTTCCCTCCATGTTCCTCAGACAAGATCATCCCTAGTTACTACTTGTCCGTTAAGTACTATATATCAGTACTCTTTTCTTGTAAATATATATATATATATATATATGGTGGTTTTATCTACCTATATATTAGATATCTTTCTGATTAAGTTCTAACTTAGTCCGACTTCAGTATGCTTTCCTTCTTCCACGGTGGGAAAGTTATCGATATGAAGCGATGGGACGGAGGTACTGGCATGTTTAGAAGAAGAGTTATATACATATTGTATGAAGATGCATGCAGTCCGTTTAGGATCTGCATCTATATTTTTCTAGCTTAATGAACGTCATTTTGATTGGATGTAGGATTACTTTTGTTTGCCTCATATCCATTTTAATTTGTTAACTTTCATCTTATACATTTCGCTTAAATTATCAGTTCGTCATCACCTGGAATCAATTTATATATTACATAGCGTATATAGACTTATTATATATTCCTTCTGAGAGAAAAGAATATAAATTTGTATGTAGAAGAACCCGCAGGTGTTCAGGTCACAGGGTTTTTTATTTCCTTTTTCATTACATGCTGAATGCATGGAATGTAATTTAGAGTTCTTTTTTTTTTTAAAGATAACAATTAATAAACACAACTCAATTATACCCACATGCCAAAGCAAGGTTCAAATCCGGGATCTCACATCTGCAGGGAGCCATTGGCAAGGAATTTAGAGCTATTGATTAAACATGTGTGGGTGAAATGCTCTAATATCGGAATATAGTATAGTGGCAGTGGAAATATTTGACCTTGAAAATATTCACACTTGTGCCCAACTTAGATATTATTATATCATTGACGAGGTAAAACAAAGCTGCGCAGTTTTAATTAGGTCACGGAAAGAGCCTTTGTTGTTTGGATTCGGATATCAGATCATGTCCTTGTATTAAGGTAAGCTTTCTATTAAAAATCCTGAGACATGTGAATGCCTTAATAATTAGAAATGTTTGTTAAGGAATAACAATTAATATTATTCTGATTTAGCACCAAGTGAATGACTAATCATAGTCAACTGACGTGGATTGACCAACTTTGGTAGAGGATCACGTGAAATGGTGTGTAAATGGTTGCATTTGTCTGTAAAGATATATTTTGTAGGTTAGAGCATGAGAATTATCTAATCAAATGAGTTAAACTATTTTAATGGAGTATACTGTTCTTAATCATACTTAACATAAGACATTTAATATGGTATCGTGAGCCATTTAATAGAGAAAAAAAACTAAAAAAAACTGAAAGATGCACAAAAACAAAGAAAGACAGAGAGATTAAAAAAGAGAGAAGGAGAAGGAGAAGGAGAAGAAATTGAATTAGATTTGAGGCCTCTGAGATTAAAAAAAATACAAGTCCAAGCAAAAAAATAAAAAAAAGTAGTAGGAAAAATATTAAAACATAAAAGAAGTTCTAATCAAATGGCACAAGATTAGAAAATAAATTATAAATATATAAGTCTATGAAGTATCTAATCAAATGGCTTAAATTATTTTAGTAGAATATATTATTATTATCCTTAAGCATGGTTAATATAAAAAATCTAATTAGGATGTCAAATGACAGTGAGTCGATATATTTTACTCGAAAATTCTTAGTTTGCTTTATTAAATTATTTGATTTACAGTAATATAAGGTCGACAATGATATAATAGATTAACCATTGAGTAAAATTTTTCCCGCCAAAATAAAAGAGAGAGAGAGAATCAAACTTTGAATTCCAGCTTAAATATTAAAATAACGTGTTCATAAATGAAGTGTGAACACGTACGAAAATTTAAAAAAAAAACAATTTCTTTTCTGTTCCTTCCTTCCTTTCTTTTTAATTCTTATATAAAATACATTATGAATGTGAAGGTTTTGCATGCACTAGTATTAAATTCAACAACAACCTGATCAAGACGTAAGATCACACTCTATATATGTTTCGCAAATTAAAACACAAGAAAAGAGCAGTTCTGGAAAGCCATGTGTGCGTGTGTGCGTGTGTGTGTGTGTATACTCACATGATTGATACACGTAAGCAATATGTTTGTGTCTTCTTTTAATTTCATCTTAGTTAGAAGATATTTCCCTCTGCCAACATATGAAGCAAAATTGTTATAACTTCTAGCTTATAGTGGCAGATTATAAATCAATACTAAAATTAAATTGACCAAATATATCACAATAAATACTCACGAATATCTAATGAAAACTTTCCTTGGTTGACATTTCAACAAATTAACTAAAAATTTGAATTCAATGACTACATTTAATATAAGCATTATACTATTTGAACCGTTAAAATTTATATTAATAGTTTTAATTTTACACTCTACTTGAAGTTAATGAATGAGTAAGTTTGTTTAAATCATTAATTTAAATTTCAACGACTCAAATGGTACATGCATTCAATGTCTGTACTAAATACTATAACTAAATTCAAATCTATTAGGTATCCAAACTCAGCCTATATAATTACTGTTGAGTCGTCATTAAACTCCTTCATGCATCATGCATGCACTCATGGATTATATAATCGCAAATATTTTTCCAGGTTATATAAAGGGAATTGACATTACACCAAATTAAATTAATAATTTTTCTGCAATTGATTATAATTGATCGGAAATTTTCCAATTTTTCCGTCTAAGATCATAAATGCTAATTAATAAAAATTAGATTATTAGTTATAATTTCTTCCACTTGATTAATTTAATTTAACATTCATGACGACCAAACTATGAGGAAGCCATCTCACTTAACTCATCTAGAACATGTAGTTTATTAATATTGAATGGCTTAGGTAAGAAGTTAGTTCAATTTGTAAGTCATATCGTGTTCCCTACGAGTTGATATTCTGGTTGGATAAATGACCTACACCAAAGATACCCTCAGAATTAGGGGACTCTTATTTTATCCCTAACCATCAGAATTATTCGAAGGAAGTTAGTAGTGTAATTAATGCATCTTTCCTATCTTGCCTTTCATTTAATTATCATGAGTTAATTAAAGTGTGGTCCACTTATTGACTTTACCATGGGCATTTTAGAAAGAGAAAATTGTGCCATATCTAAAGCATTTAATTAACAAAATTAATTTCTTTCTTAGTATTGAGAAAAATATAGTTATATGCTAAAGTATACTTTCAATCCTTTATCTTGACATAAGATTTTATTTTAATCTCTTAATTTTATAAAGTATATTTTTAATCTTTTAACCATAACATTATTAGTTTCATTATCAAAAAAAAAATTACATTGAGCTTTTAAATATTTGATCAAACATTATAATCAATAAAATAATAATGATTGGCATAAAAAATAATCATTTAAAACTAACAGTGTTAAGTTAAATAACTAAAAAATAATTTATAAAATTAAAAAATTAAATAAAAACCTTATATAAAGTTAGATAACAAAATAACCGTATACTTTAACAAATAGCTTCTAGTTAAAAAAAAAAATAATAGCTATATGTTTGTTATATTTGAGGAGGGGGGAGTATTCTGATTCATATATTGGGGAGGATGACAAATAAGATCCTCATAAAAATATTAAAGTCAAGTTATGATCTCTTTACAATTAAAATTTCTAAATTTAGTATTATATTTTTCATATTTCAGTATTAAATTTTTTAAAATATCTTAATTTGGCATTAATTTTTTTATGAGGTCTTCACTTATCTTTTCCCTATTTATTTATTACTAATGATAATTTTTTTAATTAGGTCTCTTTGTATGGAGGAGGGGAAATAATAATTTTTCCCCCCACAAGTAGGTGTTTTTTTTTCTTTTTACTATAATTTAAAAAACAATATGTCTTCTTAGGAAGTTAGCAGCCCAACCTCTCACAGAATTATGGGAAGCAACTTCTTAAGTAAAATATAATCTTGAAAAGTTGTAATATAATTGTCAGGTGTTTTGTATTAATTTCTGAAAATATTTTGTATAATCAAACCTTCTAAACTCTAAAATAATGATATTTATTTCATTAACTAGAAATTAGTATATTTGTTTTTTTAAAGAATAAATTTAACTACATGAGAAATAAAATGTTAAATAAGTAATACATGCATACACCACCATAGAATATCTCCATACTTGAGGTTTTTTTTTTCGGTCAAACTTGATGGTTAATAACCATCAAGTAACATGGGCCTTAATTGACGGTTATTTGATAATAACCATCAAGTATTAATTTTTAACCAATTCTATAAGTCAATACTTGACAGTTATTTTAAAATAATCGTCACGTTTAAGTGTGTTTAAAGATTATTTTAAAATAACCATCAAACATTTATAATATTTTTTTTAAATAGGGGAGTTCAAGCAGCCCCTTTGCAAATTTACACAGAAATCAATTACATAACATTTAGCCAGCAATAAAAAAAAATCAATCACTATTTCTAATAAAATTACTATTTAAATACATTAAAATCATATATTATTCCTATACCCTAAACCCTAAAACATAAAAAACCTATAATCTTAGCTAATTTGAAAACTAAATTTTTAAAATTAAGTGGCCTAAGACATAAAAATTGACCAAAAAAATAGATGTGTAAGTTATATATAGACATACACACATGCACACCTAAACTATTTATTAGGCCTAACCACTACTGCTATTCACATGTTAAACACGGCTTGGGCTACCTCTTTAAGAACTTCTTTTATATAGGCAGTCGCATACTGAACTCAATAAATGCCCTCGAAGTACTATATATAAAGAGTCACAACAAATTTAAGTTAATATTTAGCTAGTCAACTAAAGTTGGTTAAAATTTATAATTTAAATATAATTAAATTTAATATATACCTTGTCAGGTAATGTGGTAGGGGCATTTGTGACGATGTTCTTCATGAATCTCATCAAACAATAACCATAATCATTGCTCTGATTTGGTTGGAGTAGATGCTGTAAAAGAAACCACACATCAATGAAATTGTACAATAGGCAACAGTTTCTTGATTAAAAACTTGGTCAATTAAATGAATATCTCAATTATGACCCATTTTTCATAAGAGTCCAATGCTCTCAAACTGGGGAACAAGGTGTTATTAGTTGTAGTACAATACAATACCACAGCTCTAAGAAGGAAGTAAAGAATAAATGTAAGAAATTATATATAATTTGTATATTTGGAAATTAAAATAACAAGAAAAATAACAAGTGAACAAAATTCAACTTATTAAAAATTTCTACCATATTTGGCTTGTTACTTAGTTCTCCATTAAGAGGATGAAGGTGATAAGTTTTTGAAACAATAAGATTAACCACAATAAGCATCCAGTGCCCTTTAATAAAAAGCAACAAGTGTTAGCAAACAAGTAAATATAAAAAATATTTACTTGTACCAAAAGTAGCTAGAAAGCATCTTACCCTTGGCATTAAAGATTGAGAAATAAAGTAT